TTTATACTTGAAAATAGACTTCTTTTTTTTTTTTTTTGAGGCAGAGTCTCGCTCTGTCACCAGGCACCAGGCTGGGGTGCAGTGGTGTGATCTCAGCCCACTGCAACCTCTGACTCCTGGGTTCAAGCAATTCTGCTGCCTCAGCCTCCCGAGTAGCTGGGACTACAGATGTGTGCCACCATGCCCAGCTAATTTTTATATTTTAGTAAAGACAGGGTTTCACTGTGTTGGCCAGGATGGTCTCGATCTCTTGAACTCGTGATCCGCCCGCCTCGGCCTCCCAAAGTGCTGGGATTACAGGTGTGAGCCACTGCGCCAGGCCTGAAAATAGACTTCCTTAAGAGTCTTCAAGGTCTACAATTCCTATCCTGTTTTCTCCACCTGACCACTTTCTTATCAATCCCAAATAGTTTCGTTGTTGTTGTTATTATTTGTTTGTTTTGAGATGGAGTCTTGCTCTGTCATCCAGGCTTAAGTGCTGTGGCACAAACTCAGCTCACTGCAGCCTCCACCTCCCAGGTTCAAGTGATTCTCCTACCTCAGCCTCCTGAGTAGCTGGGACTGCAGGTATACACAATAATGCCCAGCTAATTTTTGTATTTTTAGTAGAGACAGGGTTTTGCCATGTTGGCCAGCCTGGTGTCCAACTCCTAGCCTCAAGTGATCCACCCACCTCAGCCTCCCAAAATGCTAGGATTACAGGCATGAGCCACAGCACCTGGCCCTTCAATTCTAAATATTTACAAGACTGTATTTGTTTTCATAAATGATTTATGTTCTCTTTAATTTTGCCTGGTAACAGTTATATTTTTTCAGAAAAACAAAAGGAAATTCTTTTTTAGAAAACATTTTAGTCTCTATATATTTCAGCTCTGAAATCTTTAATCCATCTTCATATGTAAAAATAATTAATATATTCAGATTGGCTTTTCCTTTGCCTCAATAGCGATTATAAGAAAGTCTTAGAAGAGTAATGTTGAATAAAGAGAAATTATGTGAAGGCAGGAGAAATGAGAACAGATCTTTGCCCTGCATTTTCTTTTCTTCAAAAAGGACATGCATTTACCAGCTCTAAGACTGCAACTATAGAGGTGATGTAAATAAAGTAGGTGATGTGACTGGTCTATTAAACAAAAATCCAAGCAAGCTCTATACCAATTTCTGAGTATCCTCTTGCTAGTTGAGGTAGATTACTAGTGCAAGTTTAACCTGGTCCTGAACCTTTCATTCTACTCCAAAGAACGAGCTTCTATTAAGACACAGGAACTTGAATTTTTTCTACTTTCACTATTTCCAGTATGATATGGAGGGATTTCCTTTGTGATATATTGTCACCTTACATAAGAATTCTAGAGGCTATAGGAAAAGGAAAACCTGATTTCTCTCCTCTCACCCTCACTGTAGCAGCTGCCCAGAAGCTCAGTTACTGTGGTGATTAAACTACTCATGGGGTAGTCAGAGCACTTCTTTCTCGCCAGTGGAAAAGTATAGTCACTGATGAGTTTTAAGAAAGAAATCAGTGTTAGGCTTAGGAAATTTTTCAGTGTCTCTTAGGCTCTCGTGTAGTATTTCACATTTGTTTGCTTCATTTTTTGGGTAGCAAATATTTCTACTATGTGGTGTTTCATGTCTATTATAGCATAAAATCAGGACAGAACTGTTTATGTAACAATAAGTATGTAATCATACAGCTTTTTCAAACTTATATACATATCTGTTTATTTAAATGCAAAGTATGTATATGTATATAATATGTATTTTATTTTTATTGGCCATTTTCATAAAAACTATTTTTTATTTTTTTTATTTTTTTAACTAGAAATTTGATAATTTCTTCCATTTATATATACATGCAGGAAATACTAAAGAATGAAAAATACAGAAAAGAAATCAAAATAAAAAGTGAAGAGTTTTATGGAAAAGAAAAACTCCTTAGTAAAGAGACCAATGAAGAACTCTTGACTCCACCAGTTGACACTCAAATTAAAGGGCATGCCTCTGCTCCATACTTTGGAAAGGAAGAACCCTCAGTGGCTCCCAGCAGCACTGGTAAAACCTATCAGCCAGGATCTTGGATGCCACAAGATGGCAAGAGCCCCAGTCAATGAATGCATCATGGTCAAATCTTTTCATGTATATGAGTGTGACTATTTTAACAAATAAAAGAAATCAAAATTGAATTGCCTTGTATTTTCTGAATGTACAAAGTTTCCTATTCCATTAATCTTAAGAGTTCATTTTTAGTGTATGCACAAGAAGTGTGAGAGTATGTACTATAGAAATCTAACTTCTTTTAGACCTAATTCCTTCATTTGACTAAGTCATTGTTATTTATGAATTTGCTTAGATTTGTTTTTCCCTCCTAGGATTACTCCCTTGAGAAGGATCCTGTAGCCGTGAATCCTCAGTACACTTTGGATCTTTATGATCATTTGGGAACCACTCATAGATATAGCTTGGTAGAAATAATGAGGGTAAAACAGTGAACTTTCCCAGCTGATCAAATATAGGAGAAAAAAAAGAATGAAAAGATTCTTATTTCTGGAGAGGTAACCTATAAGATTCTAAAAGACTAACCAAAAACGTGAACTTGGATAAAACATGTGGAGGCAAAGAAAACTTAGCTGATTAGTGAAAAAAGCCATTAAGACCTTGATGAGAAGATGGGACAAAAGCTAGCTTATGGTAGGACTGCAGTTGGAATTTGGAGAGGAATTAGGACCAATACAAGTATACAATCCGTAACAAAGTCTGAAAGAACAGTAGAGAAAGAAATAATACAATAACTGGAGTGCCGTGAGATTGAAAATTACTTTGAAAAAATAGACAATTGGGGAAAGCTCTCAAAAAGCAGAAATCAATTCCATTAGAAGACAGAAGACAATGTACATGTTAAAACATTACCTACAAAAGTACATTTAAAGGGTCATACATTTTCTGGAGTGCACAACGAAGTTTTTGTTGTTATTCTAAAACCCTCACAGTGTTTAGCATACAATAGATGCTCAATATTTACTGAATGAATGACCCATATTTTTATGCTCTGAATGTAAGTAAATCCTTGGTTAAGCATTAACAATGAATTCCTAAAAACACAGATTAAATTTTTTACTTAATAGCAGGTAAAAAATTTAACTGCCTAAGAAATACACTACAGAAATAAAGCATTTATACTAAAACAAGTAATCAAGTGACAAAATCAGCACACTTAATGACAAAAAGCCCAACATTCCAGCAGTTGTCATATAGTACCAGGTGAAATATTTTATCTCTACTACACCATTTCAAGGTGGTATTACATTTTACCACAGAGGCAAAAAAGGAACTAGCCACTAGGTAGTATGAAAGGAGATACATCCAGCCAGCAGGGTGGCTCAGACCTATAATTCCAGTGCTTTGGGAGACAAAGACAGGAGTGCTTGAGGCCAGGCATTGAGAACAGCGTGGGCAACATAACGAGACCCCATCACCACAAAAAAAAAAAATTTTTTTTTGAGACAGAGTCTCATCTGTTGCCCAGGCTGAAGTGCAGTGGTGCCATCTCGGCTTACTGCAAACTTCGCCTCCAGGGTTCAAGTGATTCTCCTGCCGCAGCCTCCCGAGTAGCTGTGATTACAGATGTGCACAACCACTCCCAGCTAATTTTTGTATTTTTAGTAGAGGCAGGGGTTCATGATCCAGTTCAAGACCATGTTGGCCAGGCTGGTCTTGAATTTCTGACCTCAGGTGATCCACCTGCCTTGGCCTCCCAAAGTGCTGGGATTACAGGCATGAGCCACCATGCCCTGAAGCAAAAAATTTTTTTAATTAGCTGGGCATCATCGTGTGTACCTGCAGTCCCAGCTACTTGGGAGGCTGAAGTGGGAGGATCACTTGAACCCAGGAGTTCAAGGCTGCTGTGAACTATCATGAGGCCACTATACTCCCAGTGTACTCCAGCCTGGTGACATAGCATGACTGTCTCTTAAAAAAAAGAAAAAAAAGGCCAGGCATGGTAGCTCACGCCTGTAATCCCAACACTTTGGAGGCCGAAGCAGGCAGATCACTTGAGATAAGGAGTTCGAGACCAGGCTATCCTGCATGGTGTAACTCCATCTCTACTAAAAATATAAAAATTAGCTGGGCGTGGTGGTGGGCACCTGTAATTCCAGCTACTTGGGAGGCTCAGGCCAGATAATCGCTTGAACCCTGGAGGCAGAGGTTACAGTGAGCCAAGACCATGCCATCACACTCCAGTCTGGGCTACAAAAGTGAAACTCTATCTCAAGGAAAAAAAAAAGATATATAATTTGTGGTATACGTGGGACTGTGAATTGAGATTAACATGTACTTAACTCCTGGACTGGATTGCAGAGAAAATTGTAAATGTTTTAACACTACTGCCAAATTCCTGTTAGTTCATTAATTGCATTCCATAAACACCTTTTGCAAATGTTTGACATATTTTGCAAATGTCTGTCTATAAATATCTTAGATATGGCAGAAATTAACTACCAATTTTTATGGTTTTCATTTTAAAATACCTGTTTTGCATAAGCAGCATGGGAAAATCTTGGCCAAGAGTCCTTTATAAAAAATGCCTATGTTAACGATGATGATACAGAGCCACCATTATTAGTAGAGCTTGTACTTTCAAGGTGACTTCTGGGGTGGAAATGAATTTGTAATAACCTGTCCATATCCCTTTCCTCCAGGCTAACATGTTAAGGATGACTGGTCACATTAGTTAGGTGGTGTTGGCACAAAGTTAAATATCCTGCATAAAAAGTAAATTATAATCTTGGCCTAATTAATATTTGTCTTTCTAAAGAACAACTTTTCTTTAAAAACTTGGCTTTTAGGCCAGACACAAAGGAGAATTAAAAATAGTAAATATTGGTTTGCCCACCATATTTCATATCATTGTCTTATTATGAAAATGTCTAGTCAAGACAGATTTTAAACCTATGCCAAAAAAACTTTAATTTCAAAGGTAAAAAACTTCATGCTAACATGAAAAATATTATATACCTTAAGTACTTTATCAGAAGTCAAGTCTTCCATTCTATGCCTCTGCTATTATACATACATAGAGTGTACTTTTGGTTTTTACAAAAATAGCTTAGCATTACACAAACTGACGAAGTACAGAAAAGCTACTGGGTTTAATTACATAAACCTAGCTTGTTAGCTATGCCTTAGTTACCTGAAGTTAAAAACCAACAAAAATGGAGGAAATAATCATTTTCCATTCCTATTCTTACTAACAGATCTCTGGATGTTAATTAACCTTGAATCAATACCATTATGTTGTTTAAATGCTGTATCATTAACTGAGCTATTTATATGTAACCTGAGTTTATTAAGAGTAGGCTTTCCCAAATTATATTTAATTTATTTGGAGAAAGAGAGGTATAGAGGACAATCTATGGTAGTCAAGTTAAAAGACTCCAAGAGATCATCCAGAAAAGAAACTTGTCTCAGTTGTACATGTGTTTCCCAGACTTTGGGTATTTGACCATGTAATCTCTTTTAATGTATTTGAGAAATGTGAATTTGTCCTTAAACATTTATTCCAGATATGAAGTAAATCAGCATGATTCTATAACCAGTAGCAAATGTAAAAGCATTCATTCCTAAATAGGATCAAATTTCCTCCAATTTAGAACCATATGAAATATAAGGTCTATTTCAACATCAGGTTTCCAGCCCACAGCTTCCTGTGCATATTTCTAGTTTGCTTATTGTAAAGAAGTAAAATTTTAAATGTCCTTATATATCTGATAAGTAGTAACATGCTGAAATTTATCATATGGATACTATGGCTCAAGATCTGGCACATAAACTTTTGCTTATTTTTGATAAAACGTTTGTTACAGGCAGCCTGGGGACAGCTTTTTCCTCCAAAACCAGCTTTAGAAAGGTAATTGATTGTACTTAGTTCTCAGAACTACAATCTCTAGGTATTAAACAATACAAGAGATCATTTCTAGGATTCCAGATAATAGTAAATGGGATTCTTTAACAACAGTGCCCTGTTGGCAGTGAGAGATGATTTTTCTGAAGAATCCCAGTACTCTCTGACCCCTTACACACACACACACGCACACGCACACGCACACGCACACGCACACAGTAAAATCTTGATCTCACATATATAGAAAGGCTGTCTAAATGATTGGGAAAAGTGAAAAAAAAAAAGTATACGCCAAATACAAAATTGGCATGTTGAGATTAACAAATTACAGAAAAACACTTTTAAATATCTTTAAGTTGTTAGAACTGATGAAACCATAACTTTGGTAGATAAATGAGAATTATGTCTCTAAAATGTGACCGTAAGTAAAACATGTACATAAATTATTTCCATGAACAGCTTGATTGCAGAAAACCAAACGAATTTTAGATATATCAGAGACTGATAATCTAAAAGAAGAGCACTGTTATTCAAACTGGTCCATAAACATTCTCAGTGCTCCTTAGGTTCTGAGGAATATAGCCCTAAAGTTTTACAAGTATGCTTAGCTGTAACTGAAATTCTAACCTGCATAACATAATGTAACTTAAGATGTTAGTACCTCCAAAAAAACAAAATCCAGGACCTCGTTATAAAAAATTATCAAATTTATTTTAATATCTAGTTTCATTTTTAAACTGTAGCTGCAGGGCAATTTTTTATAATTTAAAATTCATTATCAGGGTTACAGAAAACATTAATAAGCTGACAGTGAATTAAATACTAACAGTGAATAAAAATTACTGGGCCATGCATTTATAAAAGCCATGTTTAATAGTAAAATGTTCCAGTTATACTACTTAACTGAAAGAAACATCCTTTAGCTCCTTACTTCCAATTACGGCACATTCTCATTTTGATATAATTTATCCGTTTCGCCCAATTACTGCTATACCCAACAAAATGTTTACAAACTGTATACCTTTCTTTACCACTTATGAAGTATGACTTCACTGTTACTCTTGAGGAGTTGTTTAACAGAAATTTAAAGTTTCACTTTGAACCTGTTTGATCAGAAAGTATTAAATATCACTACCACGAGTTAAAGAATGAAATAAAAAACAAAAGTGGTGTCTATGTAATCAGCGAATTACCTGATAAGACACTATTTTACAGTTCTGCTTAGCATAAGAATAACCTGGTTCCAAGCTACTACAGTGTTTGGCATTTTTACTGCAAGCTCTAACCATAGTGTTACTCCTCTCAAAAAGCCATCTCTATGAAAATGGCAGTGTTTTAAGTACAAAAATTGTTCTATCCAGTAGGTGGTATTCTACATAGTAAAGATAATTCTTTATAAAATTACATTTTAAAAAATGCAAAATGTCTTGATAATTATCAGCTGTCTCAAAGGCTAAAATAAGAAAAATGCAGCAAATAGAAGTACTCATTGATTAATATTTTGTTTTGAGAAAGCCAGAAATGACTGTAAGAAATAATAATAATAAAAGATGTAATTAACATACTGTATCTCTTTTAAGCCAACACTTATCACCTCACGACAGGACAGTTCTGACTTTTACATTTTTAATTTCCTTTGTCCAAAACAGGACCTCATTTTAAATAGAGTTCATCTAAATTGAGTTCATAATCTAAATTCATTTTTCCCTATAGGATGTCTTCATTTCAGTACATAAACTGCTAATCAGCAAATTACTAAGTCGGTTATAAGGAATTTGTACCATAATAAATGCTAATTTACAATAACTGTCAATAGAAACCTATAAACTTCTACACCCAAGCCTAAACGTCACTACAGTATTGAGGTCAGAACATGATTCTTCCATTTGGTCAAATTTCATTTACTAAATAATACTGTCAAGAAATCCAAAGAAGAACTTCAGTGGGTTCTTCCAAAGCTGCATAATTTTCCAAATGATTTTCCCTGGTTGCGGAGACTGTTCAGTCCTTCAATCCTTTTTTAGTCGTTTAGCTTTTGCAATGTTTTCTTGGCGTTTTTGTTTCTTCTTTTGCTCCTTCTCCCTGGCCTCAATCATTTTGGCCAATTTCCAAGACAGTACAGCACTTGCTAGGAACAATGGAGTAAGGGCCAAAATAACAGTGGTAAGGAAGCCGTATGGGTCCTTTGCAGCCCATTCCACAACATACTCAGCCCAAGCCTTTATATCAAACATCTTCATAGCAGTCTTATGAAAACTAGGGCTGGGAGAAGTGGGTGGAGAACACAGAGGGGAAAAAAAAAAAAACAAAAATAAGACTGCAGTTAATCAAATTTTGAAAAAGTTTCATCATACAACCAGTTAACTCAGAATTCCATTATCACTCACTTTGCTTTTTTAAAAAATACTAATTAGTACTAATGTAATAAAAACTAGTATCCCGAGTTAGGAAAAAGTAATTCATCTAGACAGCCAGAATAGTGACACTTCAAAGACATAAAGTTATAGATGATTAAAAAGAGCCATTTGACTTTATCATAAGGACTATGCATTCTCACATGCCTCCCATATTCAAGAAAAGCTTTATTTAACAGGAGACTTTTAAAAGAATCTGGAGTTTTCTATGGTCATTCCAGGAAACAGCTTAATACAGTTTGTCATTTTTTGACTTATCCTTAGTATTACTAATTAACAAAAATACAAATCAGCAAATTTGGTGTTTGAAAAGGACAGGCCACAAAGCATGTGAAATGCTCACAGAGGAGGAGAGATGGCTATGTCCAGGAATGGGAAAGAGAGGGTAAGGGAGTCATGACATCACATTAATAAGCCAAATAAGCAAAAAGTACTGAGCTATTTTATGCCCTTTCAGCTTTGAGGACCCCTGTTGAAATAAGCCTAATTTAATAAATGAGAAAAGTAGCCTTAACAAATGTCATATGTTTTGTTCCTTTTTGAGTGTAAGAAAAGGCATCTGGCAAATGAGGATTATGTAACTTGAGTGACGGTTTCTATTTTGCCCCAGGGCTTTTCCACCTTTCATGTTTGTGTCAACTTCTTTTCAAAGTGCAGAATTAGAATACCTGGGTAGGGAATGAGTGTACATACATCCTGTTACAATTTCAACTGGAATTTTTAAAGAATCATCTACCTTATGCTTGAGTAGTGATCTCTAACTTTGTCCTGGTATTATTAGTGACCCAATCACGATTCAGATGACCCTTGATTGTCTGTCTTCTTAAGTTCTACTGTATACATCTGAGAGATGGTTTAAATTCTGTACAATTGGTGAGTCGGAGAGAATACAAAAAAGAAAACAAAATTTAAGTCACAACTTTCAGGATAATTGTTAATTAAATTTTAAATGGAAAATTTCTGTATTGTATATAAGCAACCTATATGACATGTAAAATTGCCTGTACGTTATAGTAACTTCATATCTGTTTCTTCCTCATTTGAATTTACCACAATTGCAAACGCCCTGTAAGAAAATCCTAATTACTGAAAATCAAGTATTTTACTAAGTTACTTATTGCAATAACAAAATTTTTTTAGTTCACTGACATACAGGAGACAAGTTGGTTCACTGATACCGCACCCATTCCTAGATTTTGAACTTTTTATACTAAAAATGTTGCCATTCATTCCTTTACTGGATTAGGTACACCACTAAAAAAATCAAACACCTTACCTTACTCTTTAAAGGTTTTTTGGGGTCTATTATACAATTTATGTCCTTTTCTTAGAAAATGAGAAGAGATAACCAAAACAAATTATAGTAATCCACCAACAATCCTATTACCCCAGGAAAACTGGTTTTATTGTATCTTTCCACGATTTTCAACTGAACACATATGAAAGTGCCTAATATGTTAAATATCTTAGCTCCCAGACTTCATACGACCTCACCCATACAGTCAGAATTAGGTACTACTGAGATCGACCTGCCTTCACCTTCTCCAGACCAGTAGCGAATAACCAATGTAATTTTCAGAGAAAAGCAAAAGAACTTTGCAGTAAAATAGCCATGGTCCACAGGCCACACATCTCCCTGCACCTCAACTTCGGACCCAAACGCCCGTGCCTCCCACTTTGAGGAATAAATCCTACTCTTCCTCCCAAAACAGATCGACCCGGCTCGATCTCCCAACAGATCCGCGTGTGCCCTGCAGCTGCAGCTGGTGGCACTTGACGACCTTCCGCACTTCCTCCTTTGTCTTTCCCTTCTTTCTTAACGTTTCTCCCTTGCTCACTCTTCCCTCCTTACCCTATCGGGGCCGCAGACGCACGGGGGCCACGTTCACCCCTGGCCCTCGGCCTTAGCAATCTCGACCCCCTCGTCGCGCAAAGCCGTGGGATCCTGGGTTGGCCCCGCCACACTCTGCGCCGCCGCCGTTTCTGCTGGGTACCGGGAGAAAGGCACTGCAGCGGCGGCCACCTGCCCCCGACTACATCGCCCCAGGGGCTCGGATCCCACTCCCAACTCACCACCAGACCGGAAACAGGAAGGCGGAAGTCGCGGCCTTTGCGTCCCGCCCACAGGCGTCCCGACCCGCCAACCGAGCGGGAGGAAGTCCAGGGGTCAGTTTCCGGCTGCGCCATTGCTGCGTGGGTCTTGGGACCTCGACTTGTAGGACGCGGGAGGGTGCGGGGCGGGGACAGGGCGTCGCTGAGATTTCCGGGGAGCGGCAGGTGAGGCCGCGCAGGGCGGGTGACGGCACCCGCGCTCCCTTCCGGGCTGGAGCCCGAGACTGCCGCGTCCTGCGGGGACCAGGTGGTGAGCGAGGAGGCGTGGAGCGGCTTCAGAACTCGAGCGGTTCCGAAGCGGCTATGGACTTTAGCCTTTGACCCCGAGGTCGATCGAGAGACGACCCCCATCCCCTGCTCTAGCCGGACATTTGGAGGGTCCCGGGTGGGTGAGGTGTTTGGCTGCGGGAAACTCAAGCGGCGGCAAGAAAGCAGTTGGGTCCCCACAAACCGCCCGAAGTCAAGGTGAGGGCCACACAGCGACTCTTGACGATTGCGACGAGTTCATCCTGGTTCACATCCCACCTCACGCCTGTCTCTTCCAGGTGGACAGTAGTTCTTAGGTAAAGGAGGCAGGCTGCTGGGCCTTGGTGGATCCACTCAACCTTGTTACCAAGGGAAATGCCGCCATGCTGTGTGAAAAGGGAGTTTTGTTGTTTTTTAATAAGCACCTAACTCATTTCACGAAAGAATGATCAATACCTGCCCAGAGTAAACTTGACAACTAATTAAACTGTCAGGGCATTGAGTTCCCATAGAGGTGCTTGTTCTTTCATTACATAAATAAAGGGATGCAAAAAGAGAAAGAGAACATGCAGAAAGATAAAGAGGAGTTAATACTGTCTTCTAATCTACAGGAACTGAAAGATTAGCTCTGGTTTGCTTGGTGACCAAGTTTTGTGATTGCTTACACTGTTTGACTACCTCTGACAAATGTTGCAAGACCTCTTCCCTGTTTAATTCTCCAAAGACTATAGAATGTTTTCTTTGAAGAGCAAGATACAACATGTTTAACTGGTTTAGGTAAAACAATAAGTACTATTTACTAGGGGACAGGCTTTTGGCAGATAATCTAACGATCTATGATACTGTTCGTTGGACATATGTTAATGTTTATAATGTTGTATTACCAGCAGTTGTTTTCTTACTCATTTTTATTTGAAAACCTAGGTGATAGTTTCAAAGCCTATGCTGCTTAGGCCTAGCCTGTACTTGTAATAGCCAGAAAAAAGCAGACTCAGTCACTGGATTGTGTGCAGTAAATACTTACTAGAAGTAACTGATTTTTCTGAAACCTCCCCAACTCGTGAATTCAAGATGTGATCAGAATGTATTATTTTAACATTCATCGTTCCAGAGGCCAACACGCGTTTTATTTTAATCATGGTAGATGGTTTTCCCAGTTACTGCCTCTGCATACTTGCAGTGCTGCATCCCTGGTTAAAAGCACAGAAGTCTTGGGCAGGAAGAAAGGGCACATAAGGAGAAAGCCTCTGTAGCTCTTTAGCTGTAATGTAGACCAGGGGTCCCCAACCAAAGAGTGGTACCTGGTTTGTAGCCTGTTAGGAACTGGGCCACACAGCAGGTGGTGAGCGATGGGTGAGTGAGCATGTCTGCATACTGTCAGATCAGCAGCATCATTAGATTCTCATGATGCGAACCCTATTGTGAACTGCAAGTGCCTGGGATCTAGGTTGTGTGCTGCTTCTGAGAGTCTAATGCCTGATGATCGGAGGTGGAACAGTCTCATCCCTAAAGCATCACGGTACCCTGTCCATGGAAAAAATGTCTTCCACCAGTACCTGATGCCAAAAAGGCTGGGGACTGCTGGCGTGGACCATGCCTTTACAATCTAAGTTTGCTTATCTAGCTTCAAGTTACAGGTCAGTGTGCAAGACCAGGAGCAGCATAGGGGTTGCCACAGTGGAGTTCCTTGCTGCAGTCTGCATTGCCTTACCTAAAGGTGATGTCAGGATTGGTTTGAATACTGTGAACTACTTTCCATAGTGAGGAGTCTGAGCTTGTGAACTAAGAGTCACAAGTCTTGGCTAAGTAATGATATGTATACTCCGATAAATCACTCTGAGTGTGTTTCCACTTATGTGTGTAGAAAACATGTTAGGCCATCTCCAGTGCCCTTTCAGCTTTAAAATCTATAAATTGGACTCGATTTGGTCATTTATCTAACTTAAATAAATAGCATAGTAAGATATTTGATATAAACATCATTGCAAGTTTTCCTAAGGTCTTTTTTTTTTAAACATGGTCTTGTTCTGGCCCAGCTGGAATGCAGTGGCACCGTCATAGCCCACTGCCTCTTCGAACTCCTGGGCTCCAGGGATCCTTCCTCCTCACCATCTGAGTAGCTGGGACTTATAAGCCACAAGCCACTGTGCCCAAGTTAGCATCCTCACTGTTTTTAAAAACTATGATCAGTGTTAATTTTTTGCTTAATGTATTCAGTTCTAAGTCAAGTCCAACTAGAGAGAATGAGGTTCAGTAATTTTTGTTTGTTTGTTTGAGACAGGGTCTCACAGTCACCCTGGCTAGGTGCAGTGGCTCCATCACAGCTCACTACAGCCTTGACTGCCTGGGTTCAAGAGATCCTCCCACCACAGCCTCTAGAGTAGCTGGGTGTACAGATGCATGCCACTATGCCCAACTAATTTTTAAAATTTTTTCTGTAGAGACAGGGTTTCACTGTTTTGCCCAGGCTGGTCTCAAACTCCTCGCCTGAAGTGATCCTCCTGCAAAGGCTCCTTTCAGGGTGCTGGCATTACAGGTGTGAGCCACTGTTCCAGGCTGAGATCTTATTTCTTTGAAAAGATTCTTAATCAGGTTTTCATTCTCTCTCAAATGTCTGTCACAATACCAATTTAGAATAACAAGGAAATAAGGTCTGCTCTACTTCTAAAATATAAAATCTTATTCATGTAAGTTAAACCAAATTAACTAAACCTTATGCTGTTAATTAAGTAGGGCCTGCCTTTGCATAAGATAATTCCTGTGTAGTATATCGTACCACCAGCCTCTTCAGCACTAGTGTACTCTATTGCAATTATATTTTATAAGTAGAGCCTTATAAAATTCTTCTTTTGAGAATGGAAGCCCTGTGGCAGTCATATGCCATTTTTTTGCTTAAAAAGTATTTTTCCCTTTGTTGGTAGAAAATTACATCTCATTCTAACCCATGTCAAAGTTGTAAGTAGTGAAACTAGAATAAGATTCAGATAATATTATTTGAAGATAATATAGTTTAGTAACAATTTAGTCTTGACTAAAAGACTTTGAGAGTGCTCTCACCTGCATCTGATATTGATGGAATTGATTTTTTTCCCTAAATTTTTTGTGAGGTTGTTTTCTTCCATTGAAGCATAGTGCAAATACATTTCTTAATAGGCATATTTGTGTGATATTTATTTATTTGAGGCAGAGTCTTGCTCCCTTGCCTAGGCTAGAGTGCAGTGGTACAATCTTGGCTCACTGCAACTTCCACCTTCCAGGTTCAAGCAATTCTTCTGTCTCAGCCTCCTGAGTAGTTGAGACTACAGGCGCAAACCACCATGCCTAGCTTATTTTTATATTTTTTGTAGAGACTAGGTTTTACCATGTTGGGCAATCAGGTCTCTAACTCCTCAGGTGATTTGCCCGCTTCACCTCCCAAATTTCTGGGATTACAGGCATGAGCCACTGTGCCCGGCCAGTAATATTTTTTTTAGAGTAATCAGATTTTAGCAATATTTGAAAGCTTATACTGAAGAAGAAGAATTTTTTCAAAGCTACTTATTGTGACCAGGTGCAGTGGCTTATGCCTGTAATCCCAGCACTTTGGGAAGCAGAGGTGGGTGGATGATCTGAGTTCAGGAGTTCGAGGCCAGCCTGACCAACATGGTGAAACCTGTCTCCACTAAAAATACAAAATTAGCCGAGTGTGATAGTGCATGCCTGTAATCCCAGCTACTTGGCTGGCTGAGGCAGGAGAATCGCTTGAACTTGGGAGGCAGAGGTTACAGTGAACAGAGATCATGCCATTGTACTCCAGCCTGGGCAACAAGAACTAAACTCCATCTCAAAAAAAANAAAAAAGGGCTATTAATGAATAATATTATGTACCAGGTGCTGGGCTAGGTGCTTCATACTTATTATTACTAATCCTAAGACTAAACAACCCCGCAGGATTGTATTCTTATACTCATTTTACAAGTAGGGAACCAAAGACTTTAAAAATAAAACAGTATTTTTAAAAATACATCTGCCCAAAATCTCTGCTCTTTTTAAATCAAAAAAAAAACACAATTATAGAATCAAAAAGCATACTTCCATTTTATGAAATCAGCATTTTTTGTCTTTTATTTTTCTTGACAAAAATGCTGATTTTGTCAAATGAAAGTATGTTTTTTGATTCTATAATTGTTAACAGATAATAACTAAAATCCCCCCAAACTTCAAAATTGCCTATTGCCCAGGTGGTGGCAGCATGTCTCAGAGAGCTAATGTGCTAGGGAAGGTTTTCTCTAACTTGCCAGTTGATTGGCGTCTTCATCCCACTTAAATGACATTATAAACCTCTCGGTTCTCTGTTGGGCTCTTTCACTGCTATTAGACCATCCCATCAATGGTTCATGGTCCCATTAGCCTCATCTTCTGAATGGATCATACTCTGCCTGTTTCAGCCTGTTTTCCCTGCAAAGTATGATCAGATTATTTTCTAGAAAACTCATTTAGGCCTATCCTATAAGTTCTTTCAGTTATTATTTTTTCAACTATTAAGTGTTATTTGGCAGAAACACCTCCTAAACTAAATATTAGTTAATATTATTAAGAAATGCTTGTTTAAATTAGAAGGCATGCATCTTAAACTTACGGAATATACCAATTAAAGGAGATAACGAAAAGCTTATAAAAGATAGAATTAGTCTTCAAAATAAAAACAAGATTCAGTAGGGAACAATACAAGGTTATATAATTTGAAAGGAATGTGTATAAATATACAGCAGAATAACTTGTTAAACCTTCATTAGCCAAAAATTGCTTAAAACATTCTTTTCATATCTTTGCAGGGCTACTGCCTTCCTAGAGGTTTCAGATGAAGTGCTACCTATTACAAAAAACATCTCCATCCCTATAACTTATTTTTTTTTCCCACAGCTCTTATCTCAAACTGATATCTTGTTTACTGGTTCAGTATTTTTCCCAATAGAATGTAAGCTATATGAGGTCAGTTACCCCAATACCTAGAACATTGTTTTAAATAATTGACTTCACGATATAGCATTGCTGCTTACAAATAAAACTGAGAATGTTTGAAGGAATTATGAAATAATGTAAATCCTGGTTATTTGTGAAGCTCATAATAAAGTACCAAACTGTTGAAGTATGTTTTGAAACTGAAATACCCTAGTAAGAAGAGATCTAAAGATTAATAAGATGTTTGGGGAAAGGCTAAAATAATTGTAGTTATCTTGTTAATAAGCGAAGACTAGTTACTTAATGATTTCCAAGTTTGTAAAAGTATTTAAAGTAGTGATTCATTATTTTCATTGATAAAATAAAAGGAATTTGTCCTAGACTGTAGGTGCTACGATTTAAGATAAGAGCAAGCTAATCTAGAGATCTAAATAGAGATCTTTGAAAATGAGATAAGAGTGTATATGCAGACTAGATACCCTCACTAGATACCTTGCAGCCTGTGATTGCAGGGGAAAGATTAGATAGTAGGTGCTTCTCTTGTTGATCATTCCTTGCTGCCCATGGCCATTTCCATACATTTTAAAATCAATTCTTTGTGTTTTG